TTTTTTAATCCATATCAAACATTAAAATGGACATTTTATGAAGCAGTAGAAAAATATGAAACTCTTTGTTTTGAAGTCCTTATTCCTTTGCCACCATCATTCCTGATTTTAGGTCTTATTTCCATCAGACCAATTTCCCATGAGGCTTAAGGGACCAGCTTAGAGGCTTCTAGAAAGATCCATTCATTTTCCCTATTCCTATGAGCCACATGGGGGAGTCAGAGTCATTAGAAAGGTTGGGTTTTGTTATATCACAATTTCTTCAGCACGTTTTCATTTTATCTGCTTTTGATAGACTTATACGACAGATTTTACTGAGTGACAGTCTAGAACAGAGATGGCGAACCTATGACACGCGTGTCAGAGGTGACACGCGAACTCATTGTTTTGGTTGATTTTTCTTTGTTAAATGGCATTTAAATATATAAAATAAATAGCAAAAATATAAGTCTTTGTTTTACTATGGTTGCAAATATCAAAACATTTCTATATGTGACACGGCACCAGAGTTAAGTTAGGGTTTTTCAAAATGCTGACACGCCGAGCTCAAAAGGTTCACCATCACTGGTCTAGAACCTAAGCTGGCAGTATGCACTGCAATGCTACCTCATTACAATGAAGCACTGCGAGATTGATTTCATTATTCTGTCCAAAACAAAAAGGGAGCCATAATTATTGTTGGGGAGAAATTACTCAAAGATGCTTACATTCTTCATATCGATGAACAATTAGCCAAGCCTTCCAGCCAATGACTCAATGACCAATTTAATTTGTTTGTATAAACATGAGCACCACATAAAATTAAGAGACAACCCAGTTCAGTCCGAGGTAAAATGACTAATGGAAAAACAAAGTACTCGACTGTTTATATTTTCATTCTGCCTTAGTGAATTTTCTTTGAAAGGCTTGGGCAAGTATCACCACCTCAGACAACGTCTGAAAATGACAGACATCCAAAATACTTGCCAGACACCAGTGGCTTTTACCCATTATTTATCTATAGGGAGGATGCTTTTCTGTGGCCCATCTTTCCAGCTCGAGACCTCGAGTTATACCTACATTACAGGAACAACCACCCCCTGGGCTTGACTTTCCATTACAGCTTTTCTCCTTGTTGTTTGGTTTTCATGGGCTAAGTGGATCATTTCTCAGGTTGGGATTTTCAGATATTTACACAATATTTTCCATTGTAACCTTTCCTAAGACAAGGACGTTCTTCCGGCAGTAGAATCAGGGAGAGGGAGCTCACGACCACTCTTTGGGCCATTGAGGGAGAAGTGTAATGAAGAATATTGAGACGGTGTTTTAATTAACCACTCCCCTTCAAAAACCCCAAAATCACAGTCTTAAATGATTAAAACCAGATTGGCAACACTGAGTCTTGTGAACGCCTCTCTTCAATTCTGCCACACCATCACACTAAATCAGTGATGGCGAACCTTTTGAGCTCGGCGTGTCAGCATTTTGAAAAACCCTAACTTAACTCTGGTGCCGTGTCACATATAGAAATGTTTTGATATTTGTAACCATAGTAAAACAAAGGTTTATATTTTTGATATTTATTTTATATATTTAAATGCCATTTAACAAAGAAAAATCAACCAAAAAAATGAGTTCCCGTGTCACCTCTGACACGCGTGTCATAGGTTCGCCATCACTGCACTAAATGATAATAATAACCCTTACTCTGAACTCAATCTTCAGTCTTCTTATGCTCAGAGAAGACAGCTAGGTAGGATCAGGCTAGATAATGAGGAAAAATGAAAGAGCCCCTTTAATCTGAATTGCTTGGGTCCTTCCCACCTACAGGTGAACAGAGATATTGTGTCAGGCCTGAAATATGTTCAGCACACCTACCGGACTGGGGTGAAAGGTAAGTGACCTATACTTTACACTGTCCCCAAATCTGCTTCTCACTGATACTTAAAGTTCTGGTTATTAGCAAGTTTCAGGCATGGACTCATTTCAGAATCTGATAAAAAGCTGTGGACTCTCACCCTAGGCAAAGGCACACATATACCTTTGACCTAGATGTTAATGGCAAGACCTACCTTCAGGAGACATAGTTTAGATGAGTCAGCCACTCACCTTCGGCATTCAGCTTCTGGCACTCAACTTTATTGCTCATAAATGAAAAGAGTAACCAAGATAAGATTGAATAAAATAAAGTACATAAAAGTACTCTCAAAAGTAAAAAATAAATAAACAAATAAATAAATAAAGCAGTTCACAGGTATAAAACCTGAGTGTCAGAGAAATACAAAACAGGAAAGACGGAAAGACCTATCCACTGGCATTTTGTGTTTAATGGGAATGAGAGTTGGTGGAGTGGTAGAGGGATGAGGTTGGGGGAGGGAGGAGGGCAGTGCTTAATTTCCTAAACAAAGAACGAAAAAATTTTTTTCTGGGATTGAGAAAAGCTGTCTAATCGAAACAACTAATATAGCATTGCTTAATTGGCAGCCATTCTTGAAAGTTGTACCTAAACTGTACATGCCTTGGGATCCTGCCCTCAGGTCTCTTCCATGAGTATGGGCAGGGGGAAATGAAGAGTGAAAACCTGATGGGAGCACACTGACAGTCCTTTTCTACTCTAGGGGCTCTCTTCCCACAGAGGTGTGAAACAGTAATGCATCCATTCCACCAAGTCCACAAACAAGAGAGAGGGAGGAATTGTCTGATAAATTTGCATAGAGAAACACTCCGTTACTCAGATCCCACAGAAGATTGTTGACCTGAAAGATTTTAATTGGTCTTTCCATACCTAGTCTCATGAAAAATAGAGTTCAGTTTCTCATTTTCTTTTGGGCATGGAGACTATGTTGCCTCACTGAGGGGAGAGGGCTAGGATGTGCCTGTAGCTGTTCCTTCAGACTTATTCACAACACTTAACAGCTAACTAAACGTTGCCTGCCTACCTACCTACCTACCTACCTGTATTTACACTTTCTAATTCCCTACTGATTCTTAATATACATTCCAGTTATTCACCTATTAATAATGTTGGTTAGCTATTTGTACCATTTGTCCCAATTCTTACTTTTTAAAAAATGTATCTTTATTGTTGAAAGCATTACAGATGTCCCCTTTTTTCCCTCCACTGACCCCCCTCTATTTCCTCCCATTCAAGAAATGTTAAAGGGACTGCTGTAATAAGCATAAAGAGTAAAAATGGCAATAAATAAATACCTATCAATAATAACCTTAAATGTAAATGGATTAAATGCTCTAATCAAAAGACATAGGGTATCTAAATGGATAAGAAAACCAGTTCCTACTTTTTTAAATCAAATTATTGATTTTCCCCTTGCATTCAAATTATTCTACCCATGATTTCTGTTCATTCTGGTCACCAGCTGTTACTTTATCTGCCCCAATTGATGTGTTTATTAAATGATCATCTGTAGATAAAAGATCCTTAAAGTTCATTATATAAAAAAGAAATGGAGGCCCAAAATATTATGACTTAGAAAAGAACTCAGGTCTCAACTAGTTTGAAGTTTTTTGGTTGAGATATAATTGGCATATAACATTGTATTAGTTTTAGTTGTGCAACATAATGACTTGATATATGTATATATTATAAAATGATTACCATAATAAGTTTAGTTAACATCCATTAACAAGCAAAGTAACAATTTTTTTCTTGTGATGAGATCTTCTTAAGACCTACTCTGTTAGCAACTTTCAAACATACAGTATGATATTATTAACTATAGTCACCATGCTGTACATTACATTCCCAGGACTTACTTACCTCATAAGTGGAATTTTATACCTTTTGACTACCTGGGACTTTTTTATGGTATAATCTGCTACATCTCCATAAAAACATTCTTCATCTCCATTGATTTAGGGCACTGATTCCACAATTTTTCTGATACTCAGAATCAGCTATTTTTTAAAAACACTGATTCTAGGGACCCACAGCAGGTTATTGAACCATAGTCTTTGGGTCAAAGGAACCTGTAGTATTAAAAGGCACTCAAATAAAAAATATTTTTTTAAGAAAAAAAACAAAAATGGTGCCTAGGTGAACCTGATGTGTAGCCAGGCTTGGACACCATTGCCCTTGGCTTTGATCCCTGTAAGCAGTGCTCCAAGGTCTCCAGCCCTCAGTGTTTGTTTTTCTCTCTCAGACACTTGCCCTAACGAACTTCCCTTTCTTCCCAGTGGATAAAGCCACATTTATGGTTGGCAGCTACGGGCCTCGGCCAGAAGAGTATGAGTTCCTGACTCCAATTGAGGAGGCTCCCAAAGGCATGCTGGCCCGAGGCACCTACCACAACAAGTCCTTCTTCACCGATGACGACAAGCACGACCACCTCACCTGGGAGTGGAACCTGTCCATTAAGAAGGAGTGGACAGAATGAGCACATCTGCCCATTCCTGTCCCTGCCCTGCCACCTGGAAGAACCCTCTACATCGTGTTCATCGCCCTGTCCTCCCCCCTCATCACAGCTGGGCCCCTTCCCCAACACCCCTCACATCCTCTTGTTGACGCATCTTCTCCCGCTCTCTCTCTGGGAGTGATCCCTAACACTGGACGCTTAAAACCCAGGCTTCAGTCCTGCCCACTCTGATCCCCCATCATGGCCAGATCTTCAAAGTTCTGTTCCTCAATGCACAGTCATGAAATATGTCTTCTCTTATTTCCATTTGAGGAGTGAGAGGCCAGGAATCACTAACAACCCTTCTGCCTTGGGTTCCAGTGCTCATTCCCACCCCTGGATTGTTCTGTGGTTGCTGCTGGCTCAGTGAACGTCCCTAGCCACATTCCCTGCCACGTGGGTTCTTTTTTCCTGGGTGACACTTAAACAGCACAAGAGAGTGAGAATAAAGCAATTGTATGACCTGACTGAGACTCTCATTTCCTTGCTTTCCTCGTTTGAACAAATATGGTAACTGGATGGTTCCTGGGAGGGGGTGGGACAGGACATAGTAGAGGAGACTTTTACATGCCTGGGAACAGTTTGGGTGCCCTGTTCCTGCAATGGGCAATGAACCTTCAAAATAAGAACAGAAGAAAATCACAATTTGTTTTATTTTATGGTATTATCATATGACAGTTTTTTTTCTGATCTTGAGATCTATGTCTCCCACTGCCTATGGGGTCTCTTGGAGTTCCACAGTCATCTTGGCCCCAATCAGACACTGTTTCTCTCCTGTTTAAGATCTTTCCATGGATTCTCATCACCTGCAAAATAAAATTGAAGCTCCTAGGCTTCGTTCATAAACCCCTCTGTGAGCTGGTCCCAGCATACCTTTCTGCCCGTAATGATCATTTCCTTCCCTTTGGAATACTCAATCACTAATAATTCTCTCTCATGTTACATTTGCATCGCTGGGCTTTGTCTCATTACATGAAACTCAGGTTCCATCTTTGTTGTCTGGCAAAATTACTTACTCAGGCCTCTGGTTGGGCATCCCCTGCAGGGAACAAAACCTTCGCTAACCCCACCACTGTCCTAAACATCCTTCGTCTGACCTCTCACAGTGCTCTATGAGTTCCTCTTTCTTTTTCACTTTTCATTTTATATTTAAATGATGTTTATTTGTCCATTTCTCACATTAACAATCTAAGCTGGGAGAGGCTAGATCACATCATAGTTACCTTTGTATCCCTAGAGCTTAGGTCAATACCTGGCATAGAACATTGTTTTCTTATTTAAATGAATTGACTTTCTTCTGGTTGGTTTTGTGCGGAGGCCCTGTCACTAACCTCGGTCTGTTATCTCAGAAGTTGAAGGTCCCCCTAGAGCCAGCTGCAAGGTTCCCAAAGCTCTAAGAACACCACAGCCCATGAAGTACAGAGTAGGCTGCCCTGAGTCCGTGTCCCAAAACACAAAGTCCAGGGGTTGGATCAGGAGCAGAAGAAGAATGGAAGCGACACCACCCAGGTGCCTGTTTCTGTTATTTCTCTTCACGTGCAAGCTGTCCCCAGATGTTGCTGCAGAAATTCAAGAATCCTCAGGTAAACAAAGAAAAGCAAACGGCACTTGGGTGACCAGAGGGCGAAAGTGTTGTTAGGAGAAGGAAAGGGAACAGGGTCGTACTCTGAGTACTTTTCCTCTAAACCTAGAATATTCCCCCAGGAAATGGCTGTGTTGCCTGGTGGAGAAGAGAGAAGTCTGGCATTATCCTTCAGAGAGTGGCCACAAGGTGGGGTCACCCTCCATATGTTGGCTAAAAAAATGAAGCTTTGAAATAAGCATTGCACCCCTAGCGCTCCTTGCCTGAGTGTGGAGAGAAATAGGGTAGATGCCCCTATTATTTAGAGATGCTGCTTCTCTAAGGGTGCCATCACCCTAACACCTTCTGCTTCCCTCTGTGTGTGTCTAGATGGCTCCAGTGCTCCCCAGGAACCTGTGCGGCTCACGGGTGTCCCAGCTGCCATGGAATTCATTGCTGCTGCTGAGGTGGCTGTCATAGGCTTCTTCCAGGTTTGTCAGATACCCTGCTTGTTACGCCCCCCAAGAAGCAGGAATGCTGGGCCTCAAAGGAGCCATGACCGCCACCGGCTGGCCAGGTGGCACTACCTTAGAAGCCAATGGGGCTCAGAGTTTGCTTTCAGCATTTTCATTCAAGAACTCTCCATTTTTAGGCATGTCCAGTCTCTGAATTATGTCTTTCCCAAAACTTCTGAGACTGCGAAGGAGGCTCCGGGTCTTCTCATCTATGGGTGCTTTGAAACCTAAGTCAGTATCTGATTGCTGAGTCAGGGGCAGAGTAAACCCAACTTCTACCATCCAGGCAATGCACGAGTCAATAGTGACTTTCGTCTAACTCCTTACCAAACAAGGTAGTTCCTCCTCCTTCTATATCTTTGTTTGCTCTGAAATGTTGAAGAAGGATGACATGTAATACATCGAAGGTGTTAGCCTCGGTCTTTCAGATTGGCTGCCTGGCTAATGAAAGCAGCCATAAATGAGAGACCATCGTTCCAGTATTTTTATCTTTCTCTGGAGGTAACATCTGGTGATTCTCACAGCTGATCAAGTCCCCTGCTCTCTCATTGCAGACCTTGTTGTCAGTTTCCACTCATTAATTCCAACTCATCATCACCCTGTGGATTCTGTGTACACAGCTGGAAATAGCTGTGAGGAGATGTATGGGAGTGAGGGGGGCGTGGGGCGATGATAAGAAGGGAGCACATTTTTCAGTGATGAGAGCTCTGAGCTGTAGGCAAAAGCAGCCACCCTGGGAAAGGCAGGGAGGGGCAAAAAAGTGGAACTGGAGGAGTGTGCAATAACTTAGGCAGCCACCAGGTGCCGTCATTTGATCTGTGAGCAATTGCATTTTAAGGGGAAGTCTAGATTAACAATTGTTCACAGCCTCAATGAACTCCACACATCCTTTCAGATGAGCAGGGTGCCAGCCCCCTCTGCTTGACCCCGGATGCAAGGCGAGCCATTTTCTTTCCTCTTTGCACATCTCCGTCAGGCGAGAGAGATATCAGGGAAGAATATGTTCACTGTTTATTACTTGGAGCTGTTGTGGACAACGTTCCTGTGACAGCAGGGAAAATGGTGTCAGCTTGCTATAGTAAGACTGGACTCGACTCAAGTGGCTTCCCTGCCCCCTCCTGCAGGCCTGGGATCCTGGGTTGGAGCAACGCATAAACAGTATCTTTCATGGGCAATACCTCGGGCTTGCACACAGTAGAAGGAGGACTATTCTTTTACACCCTGCACTGACCTTTGTTAACAAAATTTTAAGCTTCTATATTTTTTATTTTTGGCCCTTTTCATAACACTTTCTTTTTTTAAAGAAATATATTTTATTGATTTTTTTACAGAGAGGAAAGGAGAGGGATAGAGAGTTAGAAACATCGATCAGCTGCCTTTGACTGGAATTGAACCTGGGACCCTTCAGTCCGCAGACCAATGCTCTATCCACTGAGCCAAACTGGTTAGGGCTCATAGCACTTTCTTATTTTTGCATTTCTTTTTGCTTCCACCAATTGTTCCTAAAACATTTGCCTTCTCAGGTATATCAGTGACAATGCCGTCCACTTGTGCAGGGCCCTGTGATTTTGAGGCCCCTCTCAGCTCCTAATAAACTGCAAGTTCTATGGTAAGACCAGGCAGGAGTCCCTGGCTTAGCCACAATTTTGTAGCTATCAATTAACCCACACAGCTCAGACTCTAAGTCAAGTCTCTGATTTCTAGTTCGATGAGCACATTTCAATTCCATGTTCTGTTTCCATGTCTCTCTCCTCCAAAATGACCTCTGTCATTTCTCCTTGCTTTTAGGATTTAGAAATACCAGCAGTGCCCGTATTCCATGGTGTGGTGCAAAAATTCCAAGACGTATCATTTGGAATCAGCACTGATTCTGAGGTTCTGGCTCACTACAACATCACTGAGAACACCATTGCTCTCTTTCGTCTGGTAAGTTGGGTGGGCAGCTCAAGCCTTCTCCCGGTTTTTACTTACTAATACCTCAGGTTGTGAACTCACAAACTTGTGAGACTAGAAAGATGTTTATGTCTTTAACACTAATGATGATGTCAGGGACAATGGTGACAAGGATGATGGCTCAACTCAAGCTTCCCAAACAGATGCTGTCGTGAAATGGAAAGAGGTCTGGACTGAGAGTCAGGAGGTGAGAGTTGTTGCTGACCAGTCATGTGACTCAGGCAGATCACTTAACATTTCTTAGCCCAAATTCTTTCATTTCTATAAGATAAAACGGTTCAATCATGTCACCTCTAAGATCATTTTGAGCTCTAAAATGTATACTTTTATATTTTGGGGAGTTAACTTACATTTGTAAAAATATATTAAACAACTACTGCATGTCTTATGCAAGATATTAACAATGAAAGCCCATTAACTGTATTCTCTTCTCTCATAGAACTTAAAATATAGTAGAGATTGTAAACATAATTCACAAGTATCTATAATACAAAGAGCATCATATAGATAAAATATTATAAGGGTTCAAAGGATAAAAGCAGTATAGATATTCTGATCAAAAAATTATAAAAAAAGAAAACTTAATGGGGATTTAACACATAGGTAAAATTTGGACAAGGTGGAAGAGAATTCATGGCTAAAGTGGGAACAAAAATGTAACTTAGAAAACAATGATCAGGCCAATTTGACTGGATCTCAGGGTACATGTTTTGGGGAAATGAATATAAGACAGAGAAGCTTGATTAGAATCATATTGTGGAGGAATTTGAATACTAGCTTGACGTGTTTCCAGTTCATTTGGTTGGCACAGAAAAGGCACCAAGGCCGTTCGATCAGGGGAGTAACATGAACAGGAATGCATTTCAGCAATGTTATTTTGGTATGTGGGTAGGATGGAGTGCCAGGCAAAAAGATAAGAGTGGAGAGAAATTTTGTTAGGCTGGCAAAACAGATCAGGTACGAAGGGTCTGTAGTCAAGAAATCACATTTAAAGTGAAGAAAAGGCAGGGCTTGCAAGGATGAGATGTCAAAATGATGGAAGGCAAAGGAGGCCAAGCTTAACGTTAAGGTACCTAGGAATAGTGAGGGCCTATTCAGAAATAGGGGTTTCTGATGCTGTGGTTAGTTGCTGAGTTTGTATTATTGGCAGAGTATCAAAGATGACCAGAGCCCACTGGAAATGAGGAATTGGGCAAAAGATAGTTTCAAGATGTCCTTCCCCTTCCCACCTCCATCCTATCTATTTCTTTTGCTTCTCATCCAAACCTCTCCTTACATGCAGTTTATATTCACTATCTCCAACTTTCTTTAAGCTCTTAAATACACTGATGTCTAGTTTATACCCCGCACTCCATTAAAACTGCTTCCGTCAGCACGTTTCCATATTTCCAAATCCAATGAACGCTTTTTAGGTCTTATTGTCCTGAACATCTCTGCCAGTGTGACATGTTGACCACTTTTCTCTTGAATCTCTCTTTCCTTAACTTCTAGGATCCTGCTTCTCCTGGTCCTCCTCTTCTTTCCTTAGTCTCCGTAAGGCTTTCTCTTCCTGCATCCATACTACTGCCTGACACAATGTTCTTCCCAATCTAGGTTGGTTATGGAATCCAAGCTTTGTGGGGCACTACTTCAACCAGAGCCTGAAAGAGTGCCTGCCGTGTATCAGGTGCTCATTAAGTGTTCATTAAGTAAATAAATATGTGTGTGAATGAATGTGCAATCCTTAGGTAATATAATTCTTTCTCATGTTAGACTATTAAGTGTTTGCTGAGGATTTGGAATGTTTTATCTCCAGCCTGGACCTCCGTTGTAATTCAAATGCTTGCTGGTAGAAGTCCCTCATAAGCACTACAGTCTCAATGTGTTCAAAACTGACTTTATCATATGCACCTGCTGAATCATGGTCTTCCCTCTAAAACTTTTTTATTGAATGGCTATGTTCATTTGATCTCTAATTTTTTTCAAATTGGGTCTCCTCTCTTACTGAGCCTATATTCTTTTTCCCTATTTCCACTTCTTTCTTCTTTTTTAGATTTTCAGCACCTTTGGCACAGACAATTCCATAGCTTCTTAATTGATCTCCCTTTTAGTACTTCATAAGTAATTTCTAGATTGGTATCACCATGATGAATTTAAAATGGAAACTTGACCATGACACTCCTTTCTTTAAAACTTTTTAATATTTCCCATTTCTTACAAGGTAAAAATCAAGACATTTAAACATCTCATCTTTTATGATATGGCCACTAGCTGCTTCTCTATTCCCTTTTCTAGCACATTCCTACCTTGGGCTGTACCCTCTCAACACCCAACTATCTTATATAATAGAGAGATAATATGCAAATTGACCTTCACTCCATCACCCCATCACAAGATGGCTGTGCCCACAGAGGAGGTGGGGCTCCCATAACGAGCGATCAGCAGGGACCTGAGGTTGCGTGTTGCTGGGCAGGGGCAGGGGACCTGAGGCCCCACCCCCCCAACCCCAGCACTAGACCGGGGGACCTGAGGCTGTGCCCCCCAACTGGCAGGGCTTAACAGGGGACCTGAGGCTGAGCACCCCCACACTCGGCGGGGCTTGATGGGGGACCTGAGCCTGCACCCCCTGGCCAGCACCAGGCTGGGGGACCTGCAGCTGCGCCCCTCCCCCCGACCCAGCTGGACTTGACAGGAGTGGGGCCAGCCAGGTCTGGGCCTCACGCGATTTCAAAGTGCACGCGGGTGGACAGGGACTTGACTCTGGGTCCTGTGGCATGCCCCAGACTCTGACAGGAGGAAGGTTTTCATATACATTTTATCAATTTTCTTTCATCTCTGACACTTCTATTATAGAGAAAGGGCAAATAGCAATATCAAAATATTTTCTCTAATGAATTCCCTTTTAATGTGCATGAATTTCATGCCCTGGGCCACTAGTAAATAGTATAATAATCCAAGTTCATTGTTTCACATGACTATTCCTCTGCCTAGGAGGCTACTGCCCCCTAATACCCACTTTCACTTAGCCTAACCCAGCTAACTCTTTTTCACATTCCAGTGAATCAGTCAGGCATCTTATCCTTCAGAAAGCCTCCCTGGAATCTCCAAATTGGCCTAACTATCCCTTCCTATTTGCATATCTCTATTTTCATTTACTGCTTTGTAATGCTGGTCATATATTTCTGTGTCTGTCTCATCTTTTCCCCCATTACTCAAGGTCAGAAACCATGACTTCTAGTATCCAGAAGACACAAAGAGTTTGAGGAACGAACTCACCTCCCAAAGTATGTCTCTGGGTGCATGAGTACCTTCAGCAGCCCTCTCCCCACCTGGACAGCAGTTGTAGGTTTGCATTTTCACCATCATGAAAAAAGGATTAAACCAAGCTCCTTTGTGAAAAGCTTTGGTAAGAAAGAGATGGAAGGTTAGGTTAATGCCTTTCGTGTTCTTGTTGAACCGTTCATAGTAACCCTTCAATTGGAAAATTCTAATCAAAGACAGCTTCATAAAGTACTTCCTTGCCGGTTTGCTGTTTTTAGATCTTACGAAGGCCTGATTTTAAAGTCAGTGCTACCAAGATGCACACGTGGGGAAGAAAAACAAGTGCTGTTACTTCCCACGTCAGTCTCTACAGGCTTTACAGCCTCTAATGGGTGCATTAACTCTGCTTACAATTCATTCCTTATACAGTCCTGATGATGACTTCCCAGAGCTGTTCCCTCTATTTAGCATGTTTTTTGTTTATCACTAGCGACAGACCTGCTCGGAATGAACTCTTGAGACCTCTGGGAACAGGATTACTTTGTGCCATACCAAAAGCAAACACACTGGTCCTTACCCTGCTCCATTTGCGGGTCTGGGAGAGGTTCAACTTGTGCCATGCCAGCTTTTAGATAAACATTTTTTTCCCCTCAGTTTATTCTTTCAAAGTTGAGTCCATATTTCAGTAGAATTATTATTCAGGAGTTTGAGATACCAGAGAGAGGGGGGGGGGGGTGGGGGAATCAACCAAAATTAATCTACTTTACATTGGGAAACATGAAATGCTGCAAATTTTCTGGTACCTACTTTTATCTTAGATTTACATTTTGTTTGTTTGTTTGTTTCAGTGCCTAATTTACGATAGGCACTATGCGAGATGTTTTCCGTTGTTCTACCATTTAATTCTCACAAAAATTAAATAAGTAATTACTGTTATCCTTGCATTATCAATAAGGAAACTAAAGTTCCATGAGGTTGATTCAGTTGTCCAAAGTCTCACAACTATAACACGACATATATCTGATTCATACTCTGTGTTGCTGTCATCAAAGCACACCTTCTGTACCATACTACAGCGACTTTCTAAAGCACTTATTCCTGAAAAAAAAATCTTTGCTTTTTTTGTTTATTTTTATTGATTTCAGAGAAGAAGGGTGAAAGAGAGAGAGATTGAAACATCAATGACTAGAGAGAATCATTGATCAGCTGCCTCTTGTACTGCCCCCACTGCAGATTGAGCTGCAACCTGGACATGTGCCCTCGATGGAAATTGAAGCCGGCAGGGCAACGCTCTATCCACTGAGCAAAACCGGCTAGGGCAAACACCGTTGTTTTTACTCCTAGATTCACCTCATTCAAAAGCCTGCTTTTGTAACCACTTTCTCCTAAAACATTTCTCTATCCCACTGGCACTACTTATCAAACCCCAGGATTATTTCTCAAGATTTAATCTAGACATTACATATTTTGTCAATAAAATTTCAGAATTTAGACCTATATTATTTTCAACTGCAAGAATATATGTAGAGGTAAATTAAAACAGTAATAAATGAAGACATGATAGGACTATAATGGTTCACATTACCAGATGCTTGAAATATTAGTGCATAAAAATGAGAGACCAGCAAATGCTATCTATATTCATGGAATGCATCACTTTCCAGAAATAATGCAAGCTGATTAGATAAATATCATCAGAAAAAAAATTATGTAAAATGGGACAATAACAAGTC